GGTTCAGTTATGAATTGAAAACGGGGTTATTATATAATCGTGAAATTTGAAACATAATCGTGTCAATATTGGAGAACAAAACTCTTCAAATCTGCTGTTCTGGGCACGATGCCAATTAAATAACATCTTAGTTGTTGATGTCGTTGCATGACTGAGTTTGTTTTGCCTTTGTACAGTACAAATATTTGTGAGTGTCCTGTGTTGGATCAATAAACTATTCAATCTGTTATTTTGTTTCTCATACAGCCCCCTTTTGGTACTAAGGGCAATATCCTTAGAGATGCTGAATAGATATATAACTTTTGAACGCATCCCTGTGATAGTAAAAATTACAATTACACTTACCAATGCGTCTTCGTCTAAGTTGATGTCATACGGCTCCCCTAAGATGGAAAAGGCCCTTTTAGTCGTATGGTCAAATTTCCAAGGTTTGTGTATGGTAGCCTTCATGTAGTACCTCACAAACCCAAACTTGCCTTCGTATGAGCAGGGGAGTGGTTTATCCGGAATACGATATTCGAATGGAAACGAGTGGATACCGGCAGGTAGAACGGGATTGTCGTTGTCTCTATGGTCATTTTCTCCTGCAAAGATAAAGTGGACAGACAGTGTCAATGTTATGTCGAAAAAAGTAGCGCGATATTTTTAGACGATGACTAAGCCATGCATGACACAGTCCCAGTTAGTTATCAAATTTAAGATATACAGTTACTAGTATGTTTATAGTAATATAGTTGGAACATAAACATGTCAGATGTATGGATCCAGAAAATGATGTTTGATTGTGGTTTTTTTAATATTAAAATGATTGACATCTTGTATCTGATCGTCAAACGAGTACTTGTCAATATTGAGAAATATTGCTCTGGAGCATTAATTAAAACAAAATGGCCACCAGTCGGTCATTTTGAATATATCTATAACATGATGTAAAATGAATATATAAAATTTGAACATAATTAGTCAAAGCATATCAGAGATATGGCTCTAGAAGTGCATTCATTTGAACAAAATGCCCGCCAGTCAGCCATTTTGAATCCGATCTGAAAAATAAAATGACGTGCATCAGGAACCCACAATCTCTTATGTATGTACCAAGTTTGAACACAATCCATTCATAAACGCCAAGATCCAGTTCTGGAATGCCAGAAATGCTTGATTTTTGATGATTTTTTAGCACAAAAATGGCTGCCATTTGGCCATTTTGAATCAGATAGTCAAACCAATATATCTATGTCATGATGCATAATGAATATATAAAATTTGAAAGATAAAATGATGTGCATCAAGGTTCCATAATGTCCAACGTATGTATCAAGTTTAAATAAAATCCATCCATTAATGCTTGATTTTGATTTTTTAGCACAAAATGACCACCATTCGGCCATCTTGAATTAGATCGTAAAACAAATTGATGTGCATATGAATAATATTATGTATGATGTATTGTGATTGGTTCAGGCATGTCCAAGATACAGGTTCAGACGCACGCACGGACATACAAAGGTCCAAACATAAGTCCCGGACTGACGAGGTCTGTATGTCAGCCAAAATGGAGCAGACTGTACACATATCTTAATGGTGTTTTGATAATCCATGTTATAGTGCACGTGTCAATTTTTTTGTGTGATACAAAATGTACATACATGAGGTAAACTAGTAGAAAACACATGGTATTGAACTTGTAACCAGCATAGTGAACTATTCGAACATAAGTTAACTTCGAGCTTTTTGTTACAAATGTGGGCTTTGTCGCATATTACTCCATGTTTCCTTATAATATACCACATGGGTCGTAATTCTTTAATGTTTTGAATGTAGCCATCTCGTTGTGGACAGGAGAACCACGTGCACGAGACTTGTAAACCCTCCGTATAAATACTTCAATAGTTCCAATCCCCGCACAATCCCCACACAATTTTAAAAACGGGGTGGTCGTACTAACCTTTTCCGAACAGCGTTATTTTTTCTTCTATGTATGTCTCCATCGATCTGTGGTGGTAGCTCTGTGTTTTTCGGCGGTCGTGGGACTCACGGTCGTAACCTTCGACCCAGTTAACGATTGCCACACCATGGATTACGAGGTGGATTCCTGTAAAACAAAATGATGAATAAAATGTTTTCAGCGTGAGTCCAAAAGTTTGTAGGAATTCGTCCGATGTACTTAAGAGTCGCTGCAGTTCGCGATGGAACTTCACTGTACAAAATATTTGGTGCGTTTACTAAAATGACCACCAGCCCGAGATATTGATCCGCTAGATGGTGGCATATTTGACACGAAGACCGATTCATAATTGCGCCGGGGTTCCTGACCTTACACTGGTATAGAATGAAAATCTTCGTAATTACAAGTATATTTGTCCAATGTTCTATGTCATTTCTCAAGGTGGGTAATGACCAATAAAACTCAAAATAAAAAAGAAATAAAAGAAATGCTCCCCAAAATGGAAAATTCAAAAATCACTGTTATATTAACAAATCACAACACATTTTATAGGGAATAGCCGGCTCCCTTAAGATGGCAAATATGAGTTTCAATGCAGTTTGGTTTCCTAATTTAAAGCCGGTAAGTAAACATTTAGATAAACCCAAGGCAACAAATATTCATAGACAACGTTGGGATACCCCCTGGTCATCTGGCTTGTATCATCAGTCGTCACGCCGCGTCGTGTTCCACATGGGTTCTATCCGACGTATACGACGAGGGTAAAATCTATTGTCTGCATTGTCTACACGCGCAATTCTAGCGTGCGCTACGTGACGAATGTGGCGATTAAATAAACTACTAAAGTAACGCCTGTTACATTTTAAAGAAGGGGGCCTTCGTGTAATTCGGAATATTTATACTGAGTTACAATGCATAATTAATGAAACATGTCGTTTGCTCTTATTTTCCGGCATCAACCTGTCACTTCGCCGAAAGTGCGTGACGTCAACTATTATTAATCGCCCTTTAAATGAACCTCGTTCCAGGGTCTGATGTTGACAAGTCTATGCTTAGACTCTCTCGCTGACGTGTTCAGTGTGGTCAGAAAGTTGCAATGTGATGTGTGTGAATCGTGTCATGTCATAATTTACTGTTCTGTTAATTGTTACTACCCAAGTCACTCGATGACATGACACCGTGATGACACAGATAATGTAATTAATTTTGGTGATTCAAATGACACTTAGGTACACCGCTAAACTATATTTGCAATATAAGCAGTATGCACGAAGACGAGAATATTAAGTTTCTAACAATAGTGTCACTATTTTTCTCGCCTCGTCTTCAGCTCTGGCAACATCAATATTATGGTCATGACTACCATCCTTTGGACAGGCAACAAATCGAGATATTGCCCTAACAAACATGTGTTATTATATAAATATTCCCATAACGTTAAACCATTGCGCTCTCCTTGTTGCAGTCACGGGTGTGAGGTTTGGTCTGGCCGCGATGTACAGCGAATACCGATTTTGATTCCTTGAATCCAATTCAATCTCTCCAGGAATTGAACCTGGGCAACAATGAACTATGCCATCTTTATTAATGTGGAACCCATGTAATGTTTATGGTCGGCAAATTGTGTTTGTTAACCACTGTTCACTGTTTTAAATGCAGCAGCTACGGTATTCCCATTATAACCACCTTGTAAAGAACCGAGCAATTCGCAGATCCGGTTGTGATTGAATTATCATCATCTTAGGGTGATATGAGACCACCGAATCGCACGCGGGATTCTCTGTTCGATCGAAGATGGATTATATTAAAAAATACCGATGTGAAGCATTTTCTATCAAGTATGCATACCGGACAATTTGATTGCATTCTATATAACTGTTAAGTTCATCCAGGACTTTTTGAATTCATAGGACGACTATTTCACTCACGCGCTTTACGGCACTGTGTCCGAGCTAACTTCTAACACCGAACAGTTGGATACGCGCTTATTATGATCACTCAACAAGGCAGATTTACACACGACTCATTTGCATATTTGAATATGAATATGTTGAATACTGTTATCAAATGTACAGTAATGTTCAACTTTGAAGTCGCCTGGTTACTTTAATCTGAATGAATTAGATTCGTTAATTAGATTAAAATATTCATGATTTGCATTAGTGTGTAGTCTTCTCAAAGATGTCAAGGCATTATAATGTACAAAAAACGACTAAGTTTATAAACTTGCTTGGGGCTTTCTTTTCTATGGCTATCGCGGAAATATCAAATCCATTCAACCAGAAAAATATGGAAATGTTCACCAAGAAACAAGACAAATAGAGAGTTTAGGAAATTCCTTTGAGTGAAATTAGTGTTTTAATGTTTCTTCCCCAACTACATACGTAAGCAGAGTCTTCCTCCAGTTTCAGTGTATCACGTGCACAATTTCACTCCAGTAACACTGCCCTGCACAACTAAGTTCCCAATAAAATTGTACGATTTAGTCAGAAATTGTTAAATAGTTCCATTGTCACAAACTTGTTTTGAATGATCAAAGAATTGAGAAATACGTCTGGTAAAACTTAAAACAAAGCATGACGGGATTTATTGTAGTGAAGAAAAATAAATGGCCCATTATATTTTGATCAGTATATCTCGCGAACGCCAAAACTTTCACATTTTATTTTTGGTCAAAATACTTTTCTTTGTTAAATTCATGTTTGGATGAAAAAAAAGCAATTCCACCGGAGAAATATATCATTCGGCAAATCAGTCAGTTCGACACGTACAGCGTAGCGTACCAATTAAGAGAACTGCCTCGGACAAGAACACATATATATATATATATATATATATATATATATATATACAATGTTCGCGTAGTCCCACTCTCTATGCGCCACTCCACTAAGGCATAATTAATGCTAGCCATATCTCCCTAATATGGTCATGGATTTGATTGGTCAAGTGAAAATGCCGTCATAACATTGTCAATTATCTGAGAATGTTATTACTAAGAATTCCCCGCGCACAGAATTTGAACTGGTCAAGAACATAGGATATTCTATCTATCTAGTAGCATGACAAGGTCGCGTGAGTTGCGTCATCCGTGGTGCTCGAAACCCAACACACCGAGAAGTCAGAAGGCCGCCACTCACGCCTACATGTCAAGCGCGAGGCGCTTATCTCATTTTGTTTTGCATAATTCTGAATGCATAATGATATAAACCAGAGTTAGCGGGACCAGCGCAATACAAACGTGACCTTGATAATAGGATTGTGTTCAAATAATAGAAGCTGACATTTTTGGACTAACATTATGTAATTGAAACACAAAATATAAGTATTAGAGGGATTACAAAAGAGGCTATAGTTAATATGGGCAGATGATTTGCTGGAGCCGTTGGTAAATTTATGTAATTGATTTTGCTGTGACAATGTATAC